GTGGTGAGGGAGTGGAATGAAGGGCGGTGCAGCACGAGCAGGGAGGCGTGACATACGTGCCCGAGATGGGCGACTGCAGTGTGGAGAGGAAGGTCAAGGTGAGAGGGCAGTTCTGATCCACGAAAGGAATAAGTTTGCTCCTTTGTCGATTTCACCTCAAAAGCTAGGCCTAAAGAGGCTCCCAGTGCAAATTACAGTCTTTCAATTTCCCTTCCTAAGCATTGTGGTAGAAGTCCATGAAATACTGGCAACTCCATTTGCTCTCCCGCCTGCATATAACTTGGAACAATTTATTGATAGACTTTCCTTCCTCAAAATAGAGACAATCTCCCCATTAAGGAGCGCTGAAAAGCGGTGCTGGTGGGTTTGGGAAGGGAGCATCGAACGCTGAGCCACCTGTGGCATGACAATCATGCCTACGTTAAACCTCGTGATGGCATCAAAATGAAATTTGAAGAAAAATTTAACACAGGCCATCGCCTCTGACAGACTCCCATCGGGGAAGACGAGAGTGAGAGGAAAGGAGAAGGGGCAGTACGAGAAGATGGGGAGGTTATATTGCCCTTGATTGGGCGTCTGCTTGGGCATGTTTTCCTCACGTCTGGGTGAAGCTGTTCTTTCTTCTTTCTCCACTTCCTCCTCCTCCTCCTCCTCCTTCTCCTCCTCCTCCACCCGGTTTTTTAGGTTCCACCTCCCATTGAAAGTCGAGTAGAGGAGTTAAATCAAGATTTGCTGACCACTTTTTGCCCTTCCCTGTGAATCACAGGGGCTGACCAGGCCAAAAGCCAAATCCACCGTAAATAGTGCAGTCAGTGTTGGTTTGGTGAACAGAACTAATAACTCTGTTAGGGTAAACAGATCATTCAATATAAATCATTCTCCATGTTTTGTCTTAAAACAGTCGCCTTTGCATGATAAAAGGCACTTCTCCCACTAAAACCTCGAAACACTCGTCAAAGAGCCCTCGAGGTGTCAACAAAACCCCATGACTGCCCTGGTTGTATTAAAAAAATATATTGAGGCTCCTGTGAACAGCTGTAAACGTAGGCGTCGGTTGCGGTGGAGACTTAAACATATCCATTGACAAGGCACTACTATTCCATCACCCCCAGGGTCTCGCCCTATCACCACTCCAATCGCACTAATGCAGCGAAATTACAGGTCGGTCCGTTGGTTGAGTTGTGTGTGCTGAGGAGGTGGCTGAATTTGGGCCTTCTAGCAATGCAAAGGTACCAACACTTGCTGAGTGTAGGAAATTTGCGGACAAAAGAGGTAGGTTAAGTGCAGTGGTTGTGGTTTGTTTACATCAATTTTACGGGAAACTGAAGTCCTGAATGAATCACACACTTAGTGGGCCTCCTCCTTCTAAACGTAATGAAATTCACATTTTGGAAAGGATAAGGCAATTGATTGCACAGAGTCTCTCACCTTACCCTGTCAAGCTAGCTGTGCGGTTTTGAGGACAACATTCGTACAGGTGCACAAGAATTCTGGCCCTTTTTGTTTTAGAAAAAGTGGCCTTTGGTGGGACTACGATAGAGTTAAAACAGTGCAGGCTTTGGGTCCCCTCCTCCTGTCCCTTTCTTCCTTCCCCTCCTTCCTCTCCCCTCTCCCCTCCGCCTCCTCTACATAAATCATGTCCTGGTTTTTTGCAGCACCCGCTGCAAATACTGCCTCTTTCTTGCTCGCCCTACTCCCATCTTCCTCTTCCCAACCCTGCGTCTCGTCTTCCACTGCCACCGAGACGTCGTTGACGTCCACAACGACCTTTCTGTTCCTGGTGTCGGGATGAAAGGGGGGAGGAAAAGTAAGGGAGAGGAAATCGCAAATGCGACTGTTTTTGACTAAAAAGAAATAAAATTTTATGCGAAACTCGAATACGGAAAGCGAGGAGGCAAGAGGGAATTGTGTTGAGAAACCGTAGAGAAATAACCAGTTAAGTCTGTGGGCCCTTAAAAGGGGCCATAGGGGCAGAAATGACTTCACCTACCAAATAAATGATAAGTCATACGAGCCTCTCAACATTTAGATAAGAGTTATTTGAATGATGTTCATATGTATGATTGGATGACTGATGAGGGCTTGTGGGTGTTAAGAAAATTGTTTGCATTTAGCGTTAGGTTTGTAAGTTGCATGGAATGTACAAACTGCAGGTCTCTGCTTACAGGGGCAAAAATAGCTCCTGTAAATGAATAAATAGAGCTGCGCTTATCAAAGAGTAACTAAGCAGTATATTGTTCACAGAATCCATTTCTGCCTGATGAGTCAGGTTGATAAGAAATGATTGCTGACCATGAATTGACACTTCGGCCTACTGCAACCCGAGTTCATAAAACGAGTTGTTTCACCGACCGAACTTAATGCAAAACTCTTTGCTGATACTGATTTAAAAATTGTTAATTTTGTTTAAGTTAACCATAGAAGTGCATTCGAGGCTGTGTAGCTTGGTGTGGCTTTTTGATTTTATTAAAAGGAGACGAGTTGTAAAATTAGTTTATGAAAAATTGGGGGCACTCATGTAGTTACAAACAAGTTTCAAAAATCTGCATCCAAATCTTAATCCAGTTAATTGGGGATAGCCAACAAATTTGCACGCAAATCATGATTTGGTCCCTATTTTCGTGCTAAATTTTAGTTTTTAGAGTGTAAAAGCGCGAGTGGGCTCTATATGGCTTTTTTTAGACATTTATTGGTATCAAATGCCAAAAGCTTAACTAGTAATCTACTACTGTAGTGCAGCTTTTATCATGATGCCAATGTCAGACAAGTTAATTGCTAATTTAAAACTATTGATGCCATTACGTTGGAGTTAAAACAATTTTATAGCTCTTTTATTGCTTTAAAATCAGTCAAAATGTTTGACACGCAAGTAGGTGCATTTTGTTGTGGCAAACTGACAAAGGGCAAATAAGGGTGTCACATACGCATCACAAATAAGTCATGGGAATTTACAGTATCATGCTAATGTAGGGATCTAGGCGTCGGTGTTTTCGATTACACCTTCTGTATGGCTGTTTTTGGGTGATGTGGGGGCTTGGTTGTGCTATTCGTGCCACCTGCCTTGAGGTTCTCCATTTTACAATTGAGGACCTTTTCACCTCTTCGTCTCACGAGTGTTGTGCATTTAATGCCACTTCATCTCCCAAGTTTGATTAAAGCCGTCTGCTTTGATGCATACTGGTAAATTTTATCCCAGTGAAACTCGTGCTTTATTCACTTTATGTTGCTCAGCACAGATGGTCTGTTTTTATTAGCATGCCACCAACGTCACTTTTGCCTTTCTATTCACACATGGAAACACAAACACCTACACACCAATCCCTTCGGTGGTGAAAGTTGCATCCGGACTAGGGGTAGTTATAAGTGATGTGCGGTAACATCAAACAAGCTTCCTTAATGGGACCTTGTCTAGCCATGGAGGTGCAGGCTTAAGGAGGCTTCAACTGCATCCTCTCCATTTACGCGCCTCATCCATAAGAACAGCAATTGCTGCACGAGAGAAAACGCATTCTTTTTTCCACATGTCGAGAGACGAGAGACAAACTAAAGCAGCAGACTGTTAAATCGTTTTAACTAACAGTAGTTACTTTATAATTTTAGCATTTAAATTAATTGAAAGGTTGTTTCAAAACAGCGCATATCAAACGACATTTTGCTTCATTACATTTATGTGACAGCTATTTGACGCAGAGATTTAATTCTTTCAGGAAGGAGAAGGTGTGGGAGGAGAGGACCAACTAGTGAACAAATTGACAGGTGATTGACCTAACACAGCAGACTGCAGTCATCTGCTAAAACGGCCACTTCTCTTTCATCGTCAACAATCTTGATCTGCAAACACTTTTGACTTTACTGAACGAAAAAAAAAATTGTTGGCCTTTCTTTATTTTTTTTTAAATGCTTCAATAAAGGATTTGATGCTATGCAAGCCTACGGTTTGGCATGTTTTAGATCACTTTCCACTCAAAATGCACCACTCACACCTCTTGAGGGTGCACAAACACAACCGATGTTTTGATAAAATTGGTTGGACAACATTTGTTACAAACATCACACACAGTGAAAGTTGCTGATGAGGCACGAAAATGGTAGATAGCATCTTGTCTTGAGAAATGTATGCAGTTTTTACCTACCCTTCTCAATTAGGGGAGCAATTTTTCAAAGCGATTGTAATCAACAATGATATATGTATAAATATATGCATATATTTTACAGTAATGGAGTTGCTACTATAAATGATTGAAGTAACCTTATTAAGATGACATGATGCGACCTCGATTGGCCTTCTACCGGTGTCAGTAGTAAAGCTGATACCAAAATAACCCTAGCTATCCCCTTTCCTATACCAATTTGACCAATTTTTAGCCATACAACTATTTAAAAATGTGGCTTGGAAAAAAAGGCGAACATGCAGAGTGCATTGCTGTTGTGACCGCTTCTGTTACTGCAACTGCTGAGGCTAGGAGAGAGCTTGTCTTTCGAACGTGCAGGCATGATAATAGGCACATACACATGCCCACATAGAACCGCGTGCATTCACCTCTTTCTCTCGGCAGGAGTTTGCGTCCGATGAGTCACAAGTATGCAAATGTCCGCTAGGATTTTATGCATGACGGGCATATGGCTAGCACTACATACATACATGCATACATACATACATACACGCAAAGGCACACACGAAAGCACAGACGCCTGCAATCATCCGTGTTGGTGATAGCTACAGTCAACGGACAACCACAGAAGCACAGCAAACCCCGATACTTGATGCATTCGGCAGTTTGTTAATGCATTCCATACTTTTACAGTAGACCAAAGTAATTATGGAAAAAGGTAAATGGACTAAAACAATGCCAAATCAACATGCTTTACCAATCCAACACTTTAGACAGCGTGGCGGACTGCATAGTCTGATCATTCCACAAGTCCAGCATGAGACTCGACACGATGCAAGATTGTCTTGCTAAAATTATTATTACTTTTGCTGCTGCAGAAGAGGCGGTGATGTGTAACATGAGCACTTTAAGCAATAAATACGTTTACTGAAAATAAGTAAGTAGTGTTGATTTTACAGTTGCAAATTCTTATGGTGACCCAATAATGGCGCTAGTTTTGTGCTTCAAAACACAAGAATAATGCAAAAAAAAAGCTTAAAGCCATATTCAATTTTTTTGATATGAAGCACGATCCGATTGCATTCCGAGGTGATACATGGCAACTTGTGAATATGCATGCTGCGTATCAACACCACTATCGTCCAGGATAAACTGAAAGACGTCTCACAAACATAAATTTTTATAGCCACCTTAGTTGCATTCACTGACCTCAGCCCTGACCAACCGCATTTCATGGCAGTGTAAGGTGTCATGGGGTCGTATGTGCAATTAGAAGTTGAAATCACCAACCGATCATAATACGAGGCTAGCCTAGTATGACTTGAAACTGATGTGCACGCGGTTTTGTTGACCGTCACTTTTGGTGCCCAACGGTGCATCCAACATCCGAAAAATAAAATGCCCTCCCTACGCGTGGCAAAAAAGGTTAACCAAATTACACGGCCTACATGATCGTTCTCACCTCAGCCTTCAGCCATATTTCCATACCTTCAAGCCATTGGACACAAGGCTAGGCGATAGAAACAAAACGACCCTCCCCCTCCCTCCCTCCCCAAGGAGGGCACATTTTTAGGACAAAAATTT